CACCCTGGCACAGTGCAGAGAAACTGACTAGGGAACAGCCTGGGCTCCGACCTGGCCCTGAAGCTGACGTCTGACCAGGCAGGGCTAAGATCATTATCTGTCTTTAGGCTCCAGTTTTCTTCTTTGTAAAATGAAAACTTGGACCTGACTGTCTCTGAAGACCTCGTGCTGATGCCTTATGAGCCTGGGATTCCTGGCTGGCTCCCTTGTAGGCGGGAGCACTTGGGCTCTGCACGGGCCAGAGCTGCTCCCTCCTGCTGAACTCAGTGTCTTGCATTTGTTTCTGCTTCCTATAAATCAGAGAAAAATAATAAGGGAAAATATCTTCCTGAGAGACTGGGAGTGATCCCGGGGCTGCTCCGTGTGCTTTGAAGAACTTATGATCATTCACCAGAGAGAGCTACCTGCCAAGTGCAAGATGGAAGGAAGCTAGACTAGGGGGAGAAATGACCTCACAAAAGCTGGCTGCGCTCACATTACGAGGGCATCTCTAGTACTTGAAGGACTGATAATATTACGGCAACAAGACGAGCCAGCTCCTCAGAGAGCTGCAGACTGCTCTGCTGTGAAGGCCAGAATGGGGCAGAGAAAGTGGGCAGACCCCACGAGCTGTGCAGGAACCAAGGCCATACGCACCCGGGGAAGCTGGGTAAGAAGGGGGGAAGCTCGGGCCTAGCGCTTCCACACCAGCGGAGACCTTCCAGGACTGGCACCATGACCCGAGTCTGCGCACCCAGCAATCCTAAAAGCATCAGTGCACAATTAACAGACCACCTATGATGCAACTATTTCTATCAAATTTGTTTTTATCCAATTTTAGAGGAAAAAATCAAATTCTGGGATTCCCATCAAGGGCCCTGGCTACTTTACCCACAAAATGAGAGGCTAAGTACAGTTATATAACAGGATTTCCAACTCAAAAAAAAATTTTTTTTTAAATGTATTCGGTACAGGGTCTCACTATGCAGCTCGGACTCGTAATGATCCTCCGGTTTTCAGCCTCCCCAGCACTGGGATTACAGGCATCCCCAACCATGCCCAGACTCAGTAGCCAGCTCAATGTCCCCAGGGGTGGGGCCAGTGTGGCATGTGGAGCAGGGGATCGAACCTAGGTCCCTGCGCTTGCCTAAACAGGCACTTAGTCCACTGAGCTATCTCACTGGCCCTCTATTATTCTCCTTCTTTTTCTTTTTTTAAATGTATTTAGTACAGGTTCTACAAGGTCTCACTACACAGATGAGACTCACAGTGATCCTCCTGTTTTCAGCCTCCCAAGAGCTGGGATTACAGGCGTGCACCACCACTCCCAGGCTGAGGCGCTGGGGGCAGTGCACAGCGCACCGGAGATGGAACCCCAGTCCCTGCGCCTACCTAAACAGGCACTTCAGTCCACTGAGCTATCTGGCCAGCCCTATTGTTCTTAAAGTCACCAAATATTTACGTTTTCATAGAAAGGGATTCTGCCGACTATTTTCATTTCTTTGTATCTCAGGCCATTGACACTCAACGGGCTCCATGGTGCTGAGTATGTTAATCAGCTTAATAATAACCCACAACCGTCGGACCACCTCATGGTGCTGAGTACACAATAGCTGAATCCATTAGGAAAGCAGGTGCAGCCTTCTGGCTCTGCTCCTACAGCACTGCCATGCACGCTGGTACTACCCTGTGCCGCCATGCGTGGTTGGTGTGCTGCATACTGTAGAAGGTAGCTGGCCAAGAAAGGGAGAGCACATGGGGCTGAAGTCCAGCCTGCCCTCTGGCGCCAGCCTTCTGCCCCTGCAGCTCGGTCCAGTGCCATCCAGCGTGGCCTTTGAACTGCGGCAGGAAGGCAGAGGGCAAGACCATGACCCCCGGCCAAGCTGGTGCTGCAGGCTCAGCTCATCACTGCACCTGCATTCAAACGCTTCCAAACACCTCCTTTCCTCTTGTCAGTTGATAAGACCCCCTCTAGAATAAGTAGAACATCTACTGATATTTTACCCAAGCTAGCGTTAGGAATGCTTGAATGGACTGTTTCTAAAATCCCAGTCCAAGCTCAAAGGATGAAGATATCTTGCACAACAGCAGCATAAACAGGAAATGGGAGCAACCTTTCCAGTGATCCCTTGGAGAGAGACAATCCTCATTTAGTTGACCCTTAGTTTGTCCTAATGTGTAAGGTAAGTATATTTCATGACCTTCCACATCTAATGTATGGTAGCTACCAAATGTGTTTGGCGAAATTCAGAATAACAAAAGCTCTGAGAAAAGCACACTGGATACTTGGCCCTTCTGATGTGCTGTCCCCGTGTAGATGGCAGCTCTGTCACCACTATCACATCCCTCGTCTTGAGGCCTTTCTAGCCACAGGTCGGACTTACCCTGGGCAACTCACACTCCCTTTACATCCTAGTGGGATCAGTAACTACCAAGACCGTTCATGCTGGATTTCCTGGGTCGGTTTCAGTTTCAAAGATACTGTCCTCTTGCCTCTAAAAAGTTCCCAATTTTTATTTAGAAAATATGGTCACCATAGTAATGACATTCTCCTCACAAACATACCAGCAATGCCAGAGCCACACCTTCATTAGGTTGCCCATATTTGGTTTGTGGGAATCTAAAGGAAAACTGACCGGTGCACCCAGGGCCTGAACCCTTCTTTGGGTCTCATTAAAGAAGAGAATAATGTATTTGCTACTGAACAATTCAGAACTCAAATGAACTCTTCCACAGTTCCACAAGAGAAGTTTTCAAGGCTCAGGAATTACTACTTGATGGAAGGTACACAATCTGGAAAAACTGAAGCCATGCCGTTTTCCAACTGCCAAACTCCCACACTCTGGCTCCTGAGACACATCACATTCACTATTAAAGTGTCACCATTTATAATTTGGTGCTAAATCTATCTGAAATATACTACTCAACATGGTCTACTGACACACTGATTCCTTAGTATATTAAAACATAGGGAGGAGATAAAGAAGGTGTCAGTGATAAAAGTTATCTAATCTCAACCTGAAAATGAAGTCATTATTTCATTCCAGCACTAGGAAAAGAAAACCTCAGGATTGGGCTTAGTAAGTAAGCTGAGCTCAATGCTTGCAGACTTTATGAAAGGAAAATTGGCTGCCTCTAGCTTTATTTTACGCCTCCAAAGTACTTTTGTGTCCCCTGGCCCAGGGTTCCTCACTCTGAATACTTAAGAGCATGGAATAAAAAGAGAAAAATTGTACTTGCAGGGAGAGTTTATGATGTTTGCCACTTGCCTGAAGCTATAACTAGTTCCAATTTTTCCTCCCACCTCCTGGCTGTGTAAGGTAAGAGACACTTCAGTCTTATTAGCACGACTATGCAAGAAGCGCTATGGAGTTACGCTCTTCCTCCTCAGGTCAGTTGGTCAGAGCCCTTGAACAGCAGGGAAAAACCTTCAAAGTGGGGAAATCCTAAACTCCATTCCCAGGAGTTCTGAGTGTTTCAGCAAGATCAGGAATAAGCTAGAGATGCTGACTTGGATGTGTGCAGTTTGCTTTGGACTTTTTTCTTGCTTACTTACTTATAAAACTTTAAATGTGAGCTTCTAAATTACAGCAATTCAATAAAAACATTCAGACCTTTGGGCTTGGCTTCCTCCCTCTAGCAGGCTGAGTCACAGAATAAATCCCAGCCACTGCAATAGGCAATTCCCCTCACATTAAGAATTACATTGTTCTCCTCTGCTCCCACCTCATCCAAGGGTCACGCCCAGCTCACTTTGACAGAGGACAGATGGGAGGACGCATCCCGCCCAACATTTGCACAGCTCATAGGAGACATCGAACCACTGCCAAGTTCCAAGAATGAGTTGCATCAGAACGGTCCAGAGGAACTGCTGAGGAGTGGTTATGGGAGTGGACTCTAGGTGCAGCCAGGCCTAGACCCAAGTGCTGACACTGTAGCCCTGGTCGTGTTACTTGTACCCAGCACTGAGCAAGCAACAAGGACTTTATAATACCCACATTAAGAGAAGCAGGTATTGCACATAGCTGCGATGAGAAGAGAAAGAGAAGAGTGGAAAGGGGAGGGGAGAAGAACCAAGAGGAGGAGGGGGAGGG